CCAATGGGGAGGGCATGGTGCTGGGACTCAGGACAGCAGCGCTCACTCCCAGCTCCTGAAGACTCCCCCCAGCCCTGTTCATGGAGCTCTTCTCTGGGCCTGGGACTAGTTCAGTGCCACCTCAGGGTTTGGAGGCTCACAATCATAGCAATCAGATGGTGAACTCTGGAACAGGGACTGTCTCGTGTTCTGTGTCTGAGCAAAGAGGCTCTCATCTCAGCTGGGGCCTCTGGGTGCTCCCATAATACACACAGTAGTTGGGTCTGCTCAGCTTTTCCTTCTTCCGCTGCCCTCTCTGTGGAGTCATTGATACCAGCCCTGTACTTAGGCCCATATGAAGCTCTCAAAGGAAGAATATGGGTTAATGGGGGGACACCTGTGTAGGTTGGTATGTTATTGTTGGTCTCAGGGGAGTGCTGGGGGTCATGTAAGCCAGGGTGGTTTCATAGTTTCTAGGGTCAGAAGGGACCTGAGTAGATCATCGAGTCTGACCCCCTGCCATGGCAGAAAAGAGTACTGGGGTCAAATGACCCCAGCAAGGTGTACATCTATCCTCCTCTTAAAGACCCCCAGGGTAGGAGCCAGCACCACTTCTCTTGGTGTTGTGAGGGTCTCAAGTGTGTGGGGACTGGCAGGCTGGTGTGTTATTGCAGGGTCTCTGGGGAGCCAGTGTGATGGTGTGGGATGTTTGGGGATTCCTAGACCCAGCCAGGCTGGTGTGGTGTTGTGCAGTGTCTGTGGGGTAGGGACAGAGACCTGGCAGGGTGGGTGTCCTTCCTGAAGGTGCTGGGAGCCTCGCTCCTTAAACTTTGAGGGTCCTTGCCTGCCATGAGCGGAGACCCTTTTTTTCTCCCTTTCACATTACCTACAGGACATAGGTCCGAGTGCCTGGAACCCCGCTGTTCTTCAGCCATTTCCTCTTGTGTGGGGGGCCGAGAGGACCCTATTCCTTCACCTCTTAGCTCCCCCCTATTGCCCTGCTATGGCCACTCCCCTCTCCTCCCTTCTCCAGCTGCTGTCTCCTTGAAGCTGCATTGCAGTTTCCAGGCAGTGGGTAATAAATCCGTGCATGACAAACAGCAGCTAAATATAGTCTCAGCTGAAAGCTTTTGAGACCTACACACACCTGCCCGGCACAGGGGGAGGAGATAGGCATCGTCAGAGGCCTGTGACGTTGGCTGTGATGCAGCCTCAGAGCAGCACCAGTGAATGACCCACTTCCATTCCCACTGGGCTTGGTCTATGGGGAGCAAACGGCACCCTCCCTCCCCTGCACCCAGGGAGGGGAAAGGGAGGCCCTGCCTGATGATGGATGTCTTTGAGGTTTGTACGGGGACTTTGGAGCTGCAAAAGCAGGAGCTGTGGTCCCCACCCCATAGGTTCCATTTGTCTGAATCCAAATCTGCTGGGCCTGGCTCAGTGTGCCTCTCCCAAGCTAGCCAGGATAAGGTGGGCCCTAGTCACTGTTCATGGGGGCTGAATCTGTGCCCAGGTCTGGGAAGAGGTCAGACAGCTCTAGGATCCCACCCATGATTCTCTGATTTCCTATTGAGGGAAATCTCACTAGAGCTGTCCCATCTTGAATGGCCCCAGTGCTTTCCCAGCTGCACAGGTTCTCCTGAGTCAGGAGGCCCAAGCTGCCTTCCTGTCCATCTATCTAAGACCTATAGCCATAGGAACCCCTCTCTCCACATCGGTCTCTCCATCCATCACCAGATCTCTTCCTCTAGCACCAATGAGAGCTCTTAGGAGCTGGCAGTTGACAGTCCCTCATGGCAGCTGCTGTGGTATCAATAAGCTTCAGCCTTTTTCCTCCTTGCCCCACTGCATCCCACTTGGAGGTCCAGCCCCCCAACCCATCCCCACATCCATGTCATGTCCTGCCCATGGCCACCATGCTCTCAGCCTTCAGATGAGTAGTTTGACAGGGTGGTAAGGAGAGACCCACTCCTCACTCCTTGCCTGCACCTCAGAGCTAAAGAATGAAACCTACCTAATGGCGCGCTGTTCTGAAAACAGAAGGGGGGATCAGAGAGTTCCTTGGAGGGGCAAATGGCTTTCCTCCCTTTATATATGCATGGGTCTGGGCCAGTAGTTAATGGTTTTGATTCACTGCCTGAACCCCAAGAGAATAAATCATGGAGCAAATCATGAAGCAGATCCTAAGAAATCCTTTTCTAAGCACTTGGAGGAGAAGAAGGTGATTAGAAACAGCCAGCCTGGATTCACCAAGGGCAAGCCTTTAACCAATTCTTCACCTCCGTTTTCTTGTGCAGGGACCGGGACTTCCCTGCTGTGATAGAAGCCGGACTCGAGGGGATCGCCTTCAGACCTCAGGTTGGGGAGGACCGGGTTAGAGAGCTTCTGGAGGGGCTGGACGCGTTCAAGTCAGCGGGTCC